CTAAGTTCTACATGACCTACTTAATTCCTAACACTAATTTCTCCCCCAACCCACACTACCTACCTGTTAAACTCGAGAAAATAAACTATGTCATAATCTATGTTCTTACCTTACCCGACTACAGTATGAAACTACTTCTACAATAAGGGTCTAAAAAAAAACTAACCCAAACCTAACGAGCCGTAGGGAATATCCCCCGTATAGGCAGTGGACTTACTTGCTCGAACACCGATCGCTAAGACAACGATATCGGTCGCATCAGGCTCTTATATACCCGTGAGCTAACCTCCGAAGGTCACGGCCGAAGTGTTATGATTGGCTACGCAACAGTAAACAACTTCACGCAGCGGCATCTCGCGACCTTCCTTCCGCTCCCAACATGGCGGACAGCGAAGGGATCGACAGATACCCAGCTACCTTACATGACCGGCGAAGGAAATTCCAACGGAATTTTACTGCCAAACGTGAGTAATAAGTAGAATAAATGACTACAAGATAACGACGTCAATACAGTACTTGCAAAATAGGCAGTAACGTAATTATAAGCCACCCAACCTATTTGTTTACATTAGCAAACCACGTATATAAAAACCACCCAATCTGCCGATAAATAAATATAAACAACTCATAACACTATAACACTATTCTATTCCACCCAACAATCCATTTCTAAAGTATAAATTATCCGAACTCCTACAATATAATGAAAAGGAGCCCTCTAGATTTGCCTCATAATAAAGACTTGCGTGGGCTTTCCTATCTATATTTGCTTCAGGGTCTGTGTGACCGACTGTGGGGCTCCTTTTCAATATATATGGGTGTATTAAAATTAATCAAGTGCTTATGGAATATATTTATGAACATCGCTTGCGTAATGAAAAAGACATCGATTGCTAACAAGTTGTACTGTTAGTATAGGACAAGTGTTGTACTGTCAGTATAGGATGAGTGATTTTTTTATGAAATCATTTCCATTATATTTAAGTTGGTTTTGATTAGGTATGACATAAGGCAGAACATACCTGCTTAGTAAACTTACTCAGTCACATAATACTTAGGTGAGTAAAATGACTGAAATACGCACATATTAATGAAAGCAGTGGGTAACGGAAGATGAAATACCCACTCAACATTCATAATACCCACTTCAAAAGTATACAGTGGGTACAGTACCCACTTGAGATAAATCTTATCTGGAGCTCTGTATACTCAGGGAAACAAATAAGAGAACACATGAAAGTCAGGGGAGTAGCTACCATTATGCAAAAAAGCCTGGGCTTACACGTGATCGTTGCTAAAAAGGTTGGACAAGCCCTCAATACTGTCTAAATATAAAGCTTTTCAACCTATCGGGCTTACATGGAAAAAATGGCTTGCTATGCGCCTGAAAGTAAAAGTGTTCCTTTATTTATTTCTAGAATTTTACCCACAATGCAATACAGTCATACCTTGTGAAGAAACCTGGAAAAGAATAAGGGAACAGTTGTACTTTCATGTGTTCCCTTATTTGTTTCCATGAGCATAGTTCAGGGAGTAAGCGTTAGTCTATGCTAGTCCCTATAGACGATACTGATATAACTTCAGAGACCTTCAGTCTGTTCCATCATAGTTCTCCTCAGACACGCTGATCTGAATCAGTATCACTCTATATGACTCTGTATTCATCATGATCTAATGATGTAGGCATGTAGGCATGTAGGCTGCCTCCAACAGGAGTTTTGTGAACCATGCATTTACTGACTCGGAAATGTGACCCAAAAAATCACGAAATTTGTGTGCAATTCGATGAACAATATTTTATATTTAACAGAGACTGTTAAACCTGATGAGGCCAACATGCAATTTTCTACCATAGAGAACGTCTGTCATGAAATCTATGTTTCAAAATTTCTACCACATAAATCCAGATGCAGCTGTGGTGAACTGTGAGATGCGGTGCATGTTTGACGCAGGTGCAGCGAGTCTCATCGTGGTAGCTATAAACGTAATCCAGAAGTTGGGACTGTGTTTCCCAGGAATTACACTAAACACTTCTGGCTATAGAAGCATTTAAACAAATTGGTTTCAGCTGGACTAGGGGTTGGAAGGCTATCATACTTGACTGTTTTGTGTTCTTCAAGCCCGACAGACACATATTGTATCTGTAAATTGCGAACAGTAATAAAAATTGTTTTTGAAACCAGTATTAAAACATGGGCTCATCAAATTTTGAAGAGGATGTTGTTATTACAACCATATGAAGTAATTTAGTCGACATGGCCAGTCTTTGGTGCAAACTAATTTAGAAATAATCTGTCGTTAGCACCAGATGACCTATTGCTATGTATTGCTGACTGATGAAAATTGTACAATAATAAGGTTCTGTCTTGCCATTGTTTCCGTGGGTGTGACAGAATTTTTAATTTCAGTAAATTATCATGTAAAAATAGTTTAGCAAAACCAAATCTGTTTTTGTTTTGCAGACTCTCTTAAAATGAAGTACTCGTAAAGGTCCGGGTTAGAATATTGATCTTCAATAACCCATGCTTGTCGTAAGAGGCGACTAACGGGATCGGGTGGTCAGGCTCGCTGACTGGTTGACACATGTCATCGGTTCCCAATTGCACAGATTGATGCTCATGCTGTTGATCACTGGATTGTCTGGTCCAGACTCAATTATTTACAGACCGCCGCCATATAGCTGGAATATTGCTGAACTCACTCACTCACTCACTTAAAATGAAGACACTAAAAACTGACCATTAATTGATGTGGTCAGATCTGGTCTGAAATAGTTTGCTAAAAACACCAGCTAATAATCTTTAATAATTACATACAAACTACAAACAAATGTTTAAAGCAACTTTTTCAAGGATCAAGGAAGCATTCAGTTTAATTTTATTTGTATTATTTTATGTCTAAATTAAGGCAGGATCACCTGAGTGCAGTGATGGCTTGGTGGAGGTCGCAGAAACACAAGTATTTGTTATCAGCCAATCTGAATGTCAGTGGATCTTCCTCTGCCATGAAACCTGCCCCTTGCATTCACCATGTAATGACTGGTATCTGTAGTAGAAGGTCCTTACAAGCTGTAGTATGTAGCAAGCAGAAATGATTAAACCAATTTGGCTTCTACATCCTTGCCAAATTACAGGAAGTCTCGTTAGGTCTCAATGTTTAATTAACCATAAAATCTTGACAGGAGACCCAGAGAACTTTGTAACAACTGATGATTCAGGTTGTAAGGGGATGTGTCAAAGAAATATTAGGCAAATTAAAGGATGGACATGACTATTAAGATAAATATTCATGTTTTGTAGTTGGATAAGGTCACAATAAGTTTCATACTTGTTATTTTCAAAATGTGAGGCATGGAAGGTATATACGGTTTACTTCACAGCATGTGGATACAAAATAAAAAAATACATTTATGATGGCCTAAATCTGTTTGACAAAGCAGAGACCATATAATATATTATATGGTCTCTGGACAAAGGTAACAAGTCCTATCATCTTACTATTAATCCTTGACATCAGTGTGGTGATACTTGGTGCTTGGTTGACAGTGTGACATTATGTACTATTAATGTGGAGCATGGCTCTCGACATTGACCACTGGATTCTGGTCCACATTTACTTGTTTACAGGCCATCATCATATGACTGAAGAGTTTGTTCTGTGGCAGGCACCAAATAGTGACTAAATGCTTACCTGATCTGTTTGATTAGCATTATAGAAGTTGGTGAGTAATAAGGAAGTAAGATATTATATGGATGACAATGTCTTTATTATATACGATGAAACTTTTTGGTATAGATTCTTATACCGTTGTCAAGCACTCTTGCTTGACAATGCATCATATATAATAAAGAAGTTGTCCTCCATAAAGTGTCTTACTTTCCTAAAGACTTAATTAATGTGTGTTAATGGTGAAGGGTTTTAGTCTTGCGTTCAGGAGAACATAAGACTGGCAGTGGGTGCTTGTGTTATTTGTTCAGTCAAATAATTTTCATGATCATATTAAATCATTCAATTAATGTTGGATTAGTTTCTGTGAAATACAGACCAGCAGAGTGTTGTGATAGTCTCAGATCCCTGGTGCTGTTGAGCACAGTCCTGAATGTGCTTGAGATGTACCAGTTCCTGTAGTAAAGATGCTCCCCAGCTGACTACTCCAGATGTCTGACAGTCTGCAGCTGTCTAGTCAATATTTCAACATAGTCCCTTGTAAAAAACTAACTCTCTTTTGAGGAGAAGAATTTAACCTTGTTCCAAGTTGGTGATATTTCTGTCTGTGTCTGTTTATCCCGTCTCCACACTGTGTTCACATGTATTGTACATATTGCCAGCTTAGTTGTCAGGGAAGCAGGTTTTATATGCCTCTGCTTATCATGGGGATCTTCTTCAAGTGTAATTATGATTGGTTTGGCTTTCAAAATAGATAATTTGTTCCTTTCATTTAAACATGATATGCAAAACATCTTTTGTAACATCTTTTGTTTGCCATCTTGTTACTTCAAGTCAACCCTGCTTAGTGTTATAACACTGAAAGTAAGGTGCCTGAGTGAGTGAGTGAATGAATTATGATATCGAAACAAGGTGCTTGAGAGAGTGAGTGAGTGAATTATGATATTGAAAACTAGGTGCCTGAGTGAGTGAGTGAGTGAATTAAGATATCGAAACAAGATGCTTGAGTGAGTGAGTGAATTATGATATTGAAAACTAGGTGCCTGAGTGAGTGAGTGAGTGAATTATGACATTGAAAACAAGTTGCCTGAGTGATTGAGTGAGTGAGTGAAGAAACTGAAATCAAGGGTTCTTACTGAGTGAGTGAGTGAAGAAACTGAAATCAAGGGTTCTTACTGAGTAAGTGAGTGAAGAAACTGAAATCAAGGGTTCTTATTGAGTGAGTGAGTGAGTGGATGGGTGGATGGATGTGTAGGTGGTCTGTATACTTTGAGAAAAATTAATAAAACCAACATTTGAGAGTTCATTTGTTAAGAATGTTTTGTTCATTTCAGGACTTGACTGTGCAGGTAAAACCACCATCCTGTACAAGTTAAAGCTGGACGAGCTTGTCACCACCATTCCTACAATAGGTAATACAAAGTGTACTTTTGCATTTGTGTTTGACCACTTTCCTACAATAGGTAGTACAACATCTACTTGTCCATCTTAGTGTTTCACTACCTTACATACCATAGATGATAGTCTTTCATAACCACATGTCTAACAATAACACAGTTCTACTCATCCATCTTTGATTGTGTCATCACTCGTACACTCTGGTCAACCATTTGTACACAAGACTATCTGCGTGATGACTAATAATCGTTGCATCCGAAACCCTTGTTGGCTAAGCAATTAATAATACATTTTCTTTGTCTCATTTAAATAGTTTAAATCGGATTTGCATTTCCATTTTTATGACGTGTAGTTACATGTTCTGATTGAACAATATTTCACTTGACTCACAAACCTTATCCTCCCTCACCAATCTGATGATGTACATGGTCTGCCGATGATGAATGACATTTCTTGTAAGGTTTTCAAAACGTTTTTGACAATGAAATCATTAACTGCTGCCAAAGTCAATATGATATATTATTTGTGTTGTGTCGGCTTAATGTTACAATGAGCTTAATTATTTTTATCCTATATCTTGTCAGCAAGATATTTCAAGAACGGTTCACTGGATTTTCTTCATAGACTTTCAAGACCTCCCTTGAATGTTTTTCAAATAGCAAATTCTTTAGTACTAGTTTTGCATATTCATACACTATGACATTCATGTCAAGGTCAAAGTCAGTCTTGAAAATATGTGTGTGTTTGAACAACTAAAGAGCAAAATAATGTTTTTGTTGACATTTAACTTCATCTTAAACTTTCATTACTTTATAAGTTTGATTTGATAATTTGCAGCGGGGGATTATGTCACCTTAGTGACAATGCTTGTTAAGTGTATACTTTATGCCAAGCTAACAGCAATAGCAGAATTTCTATTTTGCCAAATGATACCTTTGTATTAAATATCATAACTAACTGGATCGTGTTTGAAAAGTTATTGATATTTGTTTAACAATTAGACTATTATTCATTGTTAACATCCTGTTAAGAAATTATGCAACATGTTTAAAGAAAGAGAAACAAGTGTTCCAACTTAACAGAATAACTACTTTGTCATGCCTGAATTAGAAGACATATATGCATATATTGAACGGGTTTTTTCTTGGTTGTTTTCAACATGAATGTGGAATTGAAAAGTTGCAGACAGTTGGATTCAAATATTTCATAGCTACAAATCCGTTATTAGCTATAGGTTTCGTTTAGTAATGGAATATTTTTAGTTTATGGCTACATTATGTTTACCTGAAAACGTCTTCCTCTATATTGGTCGGTTTAACACAGAGAGTCCACCAAGCCATGAAACTAGGTGTTAGTTGTCTGTCTTAACATGAACAGGGAAGTATTAAGTTCCAGTGACAGTTGCTGGAGACTAGAGGCTCTCAATACCAGCATCTAAGCAGGGCAAGTTATATGTACTTCATCATGCCACACGTCTAAAGCTTGGTACTCTGAAACTGAGAAAACAGCAACAACATGTTTCATCCATACTACAACAGAATACCCATACTACAACAGATTACCCATACTACAACAGATTACCCATATTACAACAGATTACCCATACTACAACAGATTACCCATACTACAACAGATTACCCATACTACAACAGATTACCCATACTACAACAGATTACCCAGTTGACATTACCATTGTAATCAAGGGCATGTATTGTATGTGGTCCTTTCAATTTCCTCATTAGGTCAGTTTGAATATCAACACATGTTTAATAATCAAAGTGAAATAAATCTTCTGAGAACTATTGTAGTTTCAAGATGTTTGGAATTCTTATTTATATCTATTGACGTCTCAACTTCATAAACAATGCGCATCACTTCCTGGTGGGTTTATACTCTGACAGCCAGATAACACCTGTCATACAACTGATTCCTATAGGTCACAGCCAGATAACACCTGCCATACAACTGATTCCTATAGGTCACAGCCAGATAACACCTGTCATACAGCTGATTCCTATAGGTCACAGCCAGATAACACCTGTCATACAGCTGATTCCTATAGGTCACACCTAGATAACACCTGTCATACAGCTGATTCCTATAGGTCACAGCCAGATAACACCTGTCATACAGCTGATTCCTATAGGTCACACCTAGATAACACCTGTCATACAGCTGATTCCTATAGGTCACAGCCAGATAACACCTGTCATACAGCTGATTCCTATAGGTCACAGCCAGATAACACCTGTCATACAGCTGATTCCTATAGGTCACACCTAGATAACACCTGTCATACAGCTGATTCCTATAGGTCACAGCCAGATAACACCTGTCATACAGCTGATTCCTATAGGTCACACCTAGATAACACCTGTCATACAGCTGATTCCTATAGGTCACACCTAGATAACACCTGTCATACAGCTGATTCCTATAGGTCACACCCAGATAACACCTGTCATACAGCTGATTCCTGTAGGTCACAACCAGATAACACCTGTCATACAACTGATTCCTATAGGTCACAGCCAGGTAACACCTGTCATACAGCTGATTTCTATAGGTCACAGCCAGATAACACCTGTCATACAGCTTATTCCTATAGGTCACAGCCAGATAACACCTGTCATACAGCTGATTCCTGTAGGTCACACCTAGATAACACCTGTCATACAGCTGATTCCTATAGGTCACAGCCAGATAACACCTGTCATACAGCTTATTCCTATAGGTCACAGCCAGATAACACCTGTCATACAGCTGATTCCTATAGGTCACAGCCAGATAACACCTGTCATACAGCTGATTCCTGTAGGTCACAGCCAGATAACACCTGTCATACAAGCTGATTCCTGTAGGTCACAGCCAGATAACACCTGTCATACAGCTGATTCCTGTAGGTCACAGCCAGATAACACCTGTCATACAGCTGATTCCTGTAGGTCACAGCCAGATAACACCTGTCATACAGCTGATTCATGTAGGTCACAGCTATATAACACCTGTCATACAACTGATTCCTGTAGGTCACACCCAGATAACACCTGTCATACAACTGATTCCTGTAGGTCACAGCCAGATAACACCTGTCATACAACTGATTCCTATAGGTCACAGCCAGATAACACCTGTCATACAACTGATTCCTATAGGTCACAACAAATTAGTTATTTGTTTGTCAGATCTTTTTTTCCCAAACTCATTCTTTGTATACACAGAACATTTAATGTTGTTTTCTATGACTATAAACATGTTGACATTCATTTGTTTCAGAGAGGAATAGATTTTTAGTCTGCAATTTTAGCCTCCACTCAGAAAGGCTGTTAACATAGGACCATGTTGAACTGAAAGACAGACAAATATTTTAAATTTCAGCGTTTTTGTTTGACATGAAAAATACAGTACCATATCATCATCATCATCATCATCATCATCATCATCATCATCATCATCATGAGCCTAAAGATATTGTAAATGTTGTTATGTCTGTGTCCAGGTTTCAATGTGGAGACAATCCAGTACCGAGACATCAACTTCACCGCATGGGATATTGGCAGCAGAGACAAAATCGTAAGTTTCAGGTGAAACTGAAAACTGTCAATAATGTTGTTACAATCAAATACTGGATGTGATGAGTATAAGAAGTTTAGTAATAAAGGGATGTACCGAAATTCTGTGTGTTGATCTGATAATCTGTATGAGTGATGTTTTTTATATATTTCTGGGCTCACCAGTGTTCCAGCTTTATGAAGGTGACATTCAGATACTCGAGTCTGAACCAGGTCTTCATCCAGTTCATTCATATCTTAAAATGATCCACACATGGAAACATGAGGTGTTTTCTTTTATATAGTTATGAAAGTGATTCAATTGTGTGATTATAGCAATTGTAACACGCCAGTTTCACGTTCCCAGCGTCCATTGTTCCGCCACTACTACAAAGGCACAGATGCTGTGGTGTTCGTGATAGACAGCCATGACCGGGAACGCCTTGACGAACTTAATTATGATGTCATCAAGCCCGCTGTGGCAGCTGACGAACTTTCCAACGCTGTGTTCCTGTTTCTGGCCAACAAGATTGATTTGGAGAACACCATGACAGTCGATGAAATATCTGACAAACTTGGACTAAAAAACCTTCGACACCCTTGGAGTAAGTCTTGCGCTGAATGAGTGAGTGAGTGAGTTAAACATGTTAGTGCAGCAGTATTTCACTTGTATAGAGATGACATAGTTAGGTCTACTATAGAACCTGTTGACAAAAGACTAACATGATATCACAGGTTTTGGTAACTGAAATAATGATTTTAACACAATGTATATGTATGAAAGTAGTAAAATAGAGGCTAATGGACAAAGCACCCTTTCTGGGGATAATGGCAGCTTGTCATTCGTCTTCCCTACCAGGATTCCCTAGATGGCAATTACATTGAAAATAATCACTTACTTACCAGTATTTAGAACAACATTGAGAGTTGTGGAAAAAAACACTGGTCATTGTAAAGTACCATGAAAATGACTGGACGAAATGATTGGAAATGCGAAAATCCATCTGGGAAGTTTGCTTGTGTTTTTCAATGTTACTTATGTTGATTTATTACAAGAGGGTAGAACTAAATCATTTCCTGACTAAATTGTGGGGAAAAAATGCCAATTGTTTTCAGTAATCCACAAAACGTTTCCCAAATCTGTGCATTCCCACCCCAATGTATTAAAACTGATTGTTGCATCCGTTGATAGAAGTCACGTTAGTAATCTTGAAATATAGACAAATACATCACTGTCCCAGCCAGCTTCGTCTGATTATCCCCACCTCTTCAGTTGTGAACCTCTCATATTTAAAGTTAAGTATTATTGAAAAACGATATAATAACAACATTTTGCATTGATTTCATTTTCAGACATAATGCCAGTCAGTGCAGTGAAAGGCGATGGATTGTACACTGCCTTGGATTGGTTAGCATGTAAACTAGGCTCCGCCCAGGCCCGTAAAGCATTGGCCACGCCCATGCCTCCCCCTGAGGTGGCCACCCCGGAAGGCACGGAGACACTGGAACATGGAATGGACTATTGTTCACGGGCGTACAGTGCTATTAAGTGCCTATTTCTGAGGACAAACCACACTGAGGGGGGTCGGGAGTCACCGTGACGGGTCAGGGATCCCTCTTATGTGTGTCTCTGTGAGGACAAGTGTAACGCCTTTACTAGTTTTAGCCCCAGAGAGTCTTTGTGTAACCAACCTTCCAACATGGTGCCGATATATATAAACATCTGATCAACAGAGTGTCTTTTCACAGGCTGTCTGGACGTCAAGATGGATTGTTAAAAACATTTTATTTAATTGGTCATGGATGTTTGCAGCAATAGATGACGGTGATTCTCTTGATTGTCTGTTAAAGTATCTATTTACTGAGTTACCGACTATTTGCCCATCAGGCTTCTCTGGTAACCATGGTCACACTGTACAAAGTGATCTTAACTTTGTCATAATGATTTACAATCATCTTAGCTTCGTAACTGGCGTGAGACAGGTTTGAGTGTGAGAGTTACAATCAACTTAGCTCTGTGACTGTCATAAGACAGGTTTGAGTGTGAGAGTTACAATCAACTTAGCTCTGTGACTGTCATAAGACAGGTTTGAGTGTGAGAGTTACAATCAACTTAGCTCTGTGACTGTCATAAGACAGGTTTAAGTGTGAGAGTTACAATCAACTTAGTTCTGTGACTGTCATAAGACAGGTTTAAGTGTGAGAGTTACAATCAGCACGGTAAAATGTCTCTCTGTAAATGACCCAGGGTTCCCTTGCAACAAGCTCTACTTCACCCAATGGCTATGATTGTTATAGCTTGTGCTGGGATTGCTCTGTGCCAGTAGGAAGATCAAGACAGATTGTGTTGCCTCCCCTGTGTAATCCACTGCCCTGTCGATAGCAGCACTTCTCCTGGTCGGTACATATGGTCATGCATTTTATATATGGCGTGCACTGATGAATTATTTTTGTAACAATATCCATATATTGTACAGAATGCAGTTTCTGGACAAAAACTCTTTGTTGTCAATGACTGAACACACCGACACCTGCAGACTGAAGCAGACTGGAAATATGGAGGATTGGGAACAAAGCAATATACTTACCAACAAAAGAAACACAACACTCATTGTCCCTGCTGTGATATTGCTGGAATATTGCTAAAAGCAGTGTAAACCACACACATTCATTCACTGCTTGGGAGAATAGTCAGGATGCAACATTTTCCTGAATATTTTGGTATGGCTTACATCAGAATGGGTTATTGTAGTAGCCACGTGGTTACAGTGTTTGCCCATCGCACCTAAAGAAAGGGTTTGATTTCCTTCATCAGTATCAGCGTGATACTTTTTTAATAATGTTCACAGCCATGATAATGCTTGCATATTTCTGTATGTCATGCTCACTCACTGTTCAACAAATACTGACAGCCAACGGTGTATGGTGTCGAGTTGTCTACCTTGGCTGTGACTGGATCTGTTGATCTTTGGTTAATGAACCATATTTTTTGCTTTCCAAACATGGTACAAACATCCTCAACTTTCTCCCACGTTAACTTGACAACCAACACTACACCCTATAGTATTTCAGGCGTGATTCAGTGGGATACAACTCAAAAATATGCATAAAGTATTCATACAAACTTACAAAATGGGACATTTTGGCCTTTCAGATATGTTGCTGTCCTTTCCTGCTTCAGTATATGTACTGCAGTAAATCTGACCGTAGAACAAACAAATAAACTGAACATGAGAAGATAATATATGTAAATACTTTGGTTATACAGATGATATACTGTTCATAGACATTAAATCTAACTGTCAGCACAGGACACAGTGGGTATATTTTACAAGTGCTTCATTCAGAATATATATTTGCTGCAGGCCTGTTTTACCCCATGAGGTCTTCAATAGTCTGATGAATTAAATGGGTTTTATCATCAGTGGTGCTCCAGACTTTATATGATGCCTTGTTAATATGTGATACAGATATATTTAATACAATATATCAGCGTGTTTGTCTTTTACAATCACACTAATTTCTGATTCAGGCTGAAGTTTGGTCTTTTGATCATGCCCTATATTTTGCACAATGCAAGAAAGGAAAATAGAGGTACTGTGTTTGATTCAAGATATGGTTAGCAGCATCATATTGTTAATATTGTTATTATTTCATGGTTTTGCAGGAAGCGTTTTTAGATAATTTTCCACCTCTATCTTAGACTCTTGTCTGAGAAAATCTGTGAGATAAAAACCATGATAATTGTGACTTAAAATGACAGACATTGGTATAAAAGGATCACTGAATATATGATATACAAGGTTTCACAGTCCACGACACAGAGCGCTGGATGACGTAGGTAGAAGCATTTGCCCTGTATACTCTACATTGTCCATCATGGCCAACTGTTGTGTTGTGACAGTTATTGGGGCTAGTGGACACAAGCTTCAGGTGCTATATAATGTGTGTCATATTCTTGCCAGGATCTGCATCTTGTGGGTTTCAGTGCTAGACTTAACCAAGAGGTAAATTACTTTGACCTTAACCCTTCATATCTTCAAACTCGTGTACTTGCTGCTATTCTTTCTGTAAATTGAAACATAACATCAACGTCGGAAAAATAGATCAAGCTTACAATGTAACAGTTTTAAATTTTATTGTATAAAGGTCAAATTCTAAAGGTCCCTAATGAGGAATCAGGTTATTGTACAGGGGGCCGTTGTACACAGCGATCTTAGAGCTACGGTAAGTAAGATGGTAGATCCCATACCTCAGCATGACTCCGACAGTCGTAGCTCTATGTTTGCTGTGTATAATGGCATCCTGATAGATTTCACTGGCACAGGTAGCGATTAACAAGGACACATCATTGGAATGTTCAATGTGCATATTATTATAACTATGTGATTATTTCAGTGTAAATCACAGTGTATAGTTTTTATACATTTTTAATTTATCATAACTATGTCATCACTGCTGCTGCCATGACTCTGCTGGAGGCAAATGCTACTTAAAATGTCCTAACATCGGTGCCATGTTCAACACTCTCTTACGGTGTGAGTTTCACTTGCTGTATAATGTGTTTTAAATTGTTGTTATACTTTATCTGTTATTTCTGGTGTTTTTATTAAGGACCTTACACAAAGTTACCCCCTACCAACAATTTGAAAAAAAATTGTTTGTAAATGAAACCGTTTTGAAATTGGACTGGTATTATGACACCATTTTTAGTAGGACACTGTTTAAATGGATGTGTTTTTTTTTATTTATGTTTTAAAGCTTTAACTCACTATCACCACTGTACATGCCATTGTAAATTATTTCTTATTTTGTACCATAGTTATCAAGTTTGTATTGATAATTATAGGCTTTTTCTGAAGATTATTATTTCATAGATTATGAAGAGAAAGTTTATGCCTTTTTGTACTAAAGAGGCCTCGTTCTGGTGCTTATATCTACATATACATATTACACTAATGTTTTGATTCTTTGGTCTTAACTACTGGATTGAAATTGGGTTTACCTTTCAAGGTTTGTCAAATACTGTTTTAGCAGGGTGGGAACAAAATTATTTAATTTTCTTTTTATAAGCTGTTTTTAGTATTTGCAAATGTAGCTTGAAGCAAATCCAAGCTTTTGTTTATTTTATACATGACCACTATTCCTATGTTTATGTTGATCTCAGACGTTTGGTTTCCGCTAATTCCATGTTTACACATTAATCAATTTTGAAACATTTATGAGAAAATGACATTGACAACACCAGTCAGGGGAATATATATACAATATGTCAGCCATCATCAGCTCTACAGGGTATTTTATCTCTATCCTTCAATGACAAATACTCTTGTAACCACATCCCTTCATGAATCTCTCCTATCACCTCCTTTTAACAACTGTTCCGACACAAGTTTGATATTTACAACCAATTACTGTTCTCCCTATATTGTATCTAAATATTATGCCAGTGTTATATCCCCTTCATCCAAAGTACAATGTAATTTCAATGGATTCCTTGTTCAGTATTTGATCTTTCACATAGGACTCTCCATGAGTGTAAATATTAACAAGTGGTTCCTGGTATTAATCAGAATGAGAAGATGAAGTACACTGGATAACTGAAGGTTTAGTCTTGTGTGAGTTTCTATGTACTAAGTCCTATGTTTCATTGGTAGAAGAATACAGACACTGTATGTTTTATTAGAGAAGCTGTTATTGTCCATTTTTCTTGAGTTTTAGGCCTTTCTTCTGTTTTATTTGCATTTGTGAGCACCTTGTGGTAAATAGCGACCCATGCTCACAGATTTAATTACTAGGGATTATTTCTATCAAAGTACCCAATCATTACACACATTCTGATTGGTTTGTCATAGTTTCGCACCTAACCCTCATCAAAAGTAAGACAATTTGTCTTGGAGGTTATGGAAAGGTGCAAGTGGTGACAAATGTTTTATTTCTTGACCATGGAATGTTTTTGCCAGAAATCAGAGGAAAATATAAACTGACAGTAATCAGCCTCTGCCTCTGGGTTTGAGTTTTAGACTGTGTTAGTTCGCAAAATATTGGCAGTTCTCGCAAAACATGGTTTGTTAACTTTTGAAAAATCAAGACAGTCAAATTTGAAATTTTCAAATTTGATGAAGATAGAATTGGAATCACTAATCCACCAAATAAAATGTTTAAGGCATTATACGGTAAGATTGATTAAGTACTTGTACACTCGTAATACCTGTATTAGTTGATTCGGACCAGCCATCATTAGATCAGGGCTCCAGATAAGTTTTCAACATCAGGAGTACGTACTCATTTTTTCAATACAGGAGTACTGGAAAACCTTAAGTTTACATTTTAGAGTACTGAATGGGATTAAATGGAGTATCAGTAATCTTGTGTTTCGTTTCATATATGCACCACAACATTGCAATAATCAATAAAACAATACATTTTCAGATAAATACGTTTATAAAGGATTTTTTGACCGTACACCATTGCTGTGGTGCGTATATGCTACGTTTTCTAAATTATTTCCTACCGTATCGTGCTTATTTTATATCCGTACATACGCCGATACGACCCTTATCTGGAGCCCTGATTAGATGTTATATGTACCCAGTATATGCGTTTACACAAGCACTGTGAAGACTGTACACATTTTGTACTTATTGTTGTATTATAAGTCCCTTAGAAATGAAGTCATTCTATAAATTACAGAATATCTCAGCTGCTTTCATAATAATATTGTATATTTTAGTTCATGTTTTGTTGTTGTCTTTATATGTGAACCTGTTTTGTCATGTTTGTAAGGAGGATGGATAAGTAAGGACCCTTTTTAATCCACAATCATGTTGACAAAAATTGTTGACGCTTGAGGTAAAAAATGTCATTCAAAGTATCACAAGTAACTGTCCTATAGCTGTCACCTGCCTTTTCAACAATTGCAGACTGTAGACTTGTAATAACATCCAGTACAGTAGGTGTAATAACATCCAGTACAGTAGGTGTAATAACATCCAGTACAGTAGGTGTAATAACATCCAGTACAGGTGTAATAACATCCAGTATAGCAGGTGTAATAACATCCAGTACAGGTGGTATAATAACATCCAGTACAGGTGTAATAATATCCAGTATTGGTGTAACAACATTCAGTACAGTAGGTGTAGTAACATCCAGTACAGTAGGTGTAATAACTTCCAGTACAGGTGTAATAACATCCAGTACAGTAGGTGTAGTATCATCCAGTACAGTTGGTGTAATAACATCCAGTACAGTTGGTGTAATAACATCCAGTACAGTTGGTGTATTAACATCCAGTACAGTAGGTGTAATAACATCCAGTATAGCAGGTGTAATAACATCCAGTACAGGTGGTATAATAACATCCAGTACAGGTGTAATAACATCCAGTACAGTTGGTGTAATAACATCCAGTACAGTTGGTGTAATAACATCCAGTACAGTAGGTGTAATAACATCCAGTACAGTAGGTGTAATAACATCCAGTGCAGTAGGTGTAATAACATCCAGTGCAGTAGGTGTAATAACATCCAGTACAGTAGGTGTAATAACATCCAGGGCAGTAGGTGTAATAACATCCAGTGCAGTAGGTGTAATAACATCCAGTACAGTTGGTGTAATAACATCCAGTACAGTTGGTGTAATAACATCCAGGGCAGTAGGTGTAATAACATCCAGTACAGTTGGTGTAATAACATTCAGTACAGTAGGTGTAATAACATCCAGTACAGTTGGTGTAATAACATCCAGTACAGTTGGTGTATTAACCTCCAGTACAGTACAGTTGGTGTAATACTTCCAGTACAGTTGGTGTAATAACATCCAGTACAGTTGGTGGAATAACATCCAGTACAGTTGGTGGCTTGGACATGAAAAAATGGTGGATTTGCAGGAAGGATTTTCTGCTTTCAAATAAGCAAATCTTTTAGTGAAGCTGATATTTTGAGGGTGTGTAGATGAAGTTACTTCTTCTGTATACATTCTTGTAGCTTGTTATTATACTTTTACTGACATTTGGAACATGCTGACTGAAGCTTGGGACGAGTTATTTCTAACTCATGTGTTGGCCACAATTAGACGTTTAAGACAATACACAGCAGTTAAGGCAACAGACCTTACATAGTCTCTGTATATATTATATTTGATGGGTGAGATTCACAAGAAGTAGGAATGATTTGGGACTATGGTGTCCAGAAAAGATGGAAGGGAACACATGGAGATATCTGTCAGCCCATAATACAGTGACGGATAGCAGTATCTGATAAAATACTTCTCTTCAAAAGTCTAGACTCACTAAAAACACTCACTATATGTTATGTATATATATATATGGTTACATCGAAGATTGATTTCTCCACTAACTTGGGGGGAACCAACTGCAAACCTTATGCAGATGAATTGCACAAGGATCATGCATTAAATTGCTGAAAAGCATGTGCAAATATCATGCATGTGAACTGCTGTGTTGTGGTGTAAAGTTGTGTTAATAATTCACCAATTTTCACTGATTTTTATCATTTACTTAACTCATGACAATAATCTTTTCAACATTATGAATTTGTTTTACAATACATGTACATCAGTTCATGCATGTGTAAACAGTACCTTTACACAGAAATGAATATTTTGCAAAATTTAGTTGAGAATGAGTCTAAACTTTTGATGAGAAGTATATATGTTCCATGGCCTCATTTGACTATGTTAGAAGACAAATTTGAAAGAATTGAATTGTTGTTTGACTGATTTTGTTATATATAGCAATGAATTGTTTTTAATGATAAGTTAACAAAATTAAAGGTACAGTAACATGTTGACCACCACAGTTGATGATTGTAAAGTCACAAACAAATATGTCTTGATAGCTTCACTTGCTCAATATATTGTGTGTATATATATAGAGGACTTATTGTAGTTGAGTGTGAGACTAGAGGTGGATCTGGTCTTGTTGTGTTGTCTGGTGGGAAGATATGGAAGTTACCAGATTCCTCCTCAAAGAGTCCTTGGACAACCAATGCTGGAACATGTCAGTACCTTTGTGATAGTAATGTGAGGTGACTAAATGGGGATTTGTTGGACAATATGTGTGCAATGTATAGACTGTAACTAGAATGATGACAATCTGTAAAAACATTCATTCAGTTCCACTGTACATAACTGTATGATGCTCATGATATCAACCACTGGTTTGTTGGTCTTGACTCGATTAAATATTGACCAGGCTGCAAAATGTTAAAAAGGTATTTCGTTAAAATGTTTTAAGTGTCATATTTTGCTTTAAGGCCACAGTCTGCTAAAGAGGATAAGTTTGGTAGTGTTAGATCTACCATTGGAAGGAGAAGGCATTTAACATTGTTTTGAAAGGTGTCAGTAGTGTATGCATGAGGATTTGACTTTGTTCTTTTCAACACTTGCATGTTGAGGCCTTAGACAACATCTAAAGCATAGATGTGGCTAAGATGGGTAACAAATGATGACTTTAGAGGTTTGCAAGAAGCATATTGCCAAGAGTTGAACATGAAAATCGAGCCAGTGTTCTATTGAAACCAAGATACACACACAACATATGGTGTAAACTTCAAGTCAGTGGGTCAGTTTGTCCAAACATCAAAGTTGTAACAGTCTATACTTATATACTTACTTTCTTAAACATTGTATATCCTCTGCATTCAAGTGTTAGAAAGATCCTACAATATCAGTCTCCCTCATGATCAATTGAGCATTCATAAAATGCTTTAGTTTTTTATAGCTTAAATATTTGCTATTTCCAGTGGATGACTAAGGGGCCTTGTCATACCTCAACCTTTCTGTGTGTGTTCCGTGTACAACGTTGTGTTTCAACTTCCACTGTGTAGCTCTACTTTGCCCTGGAAAGCAGTTTTCTGCTGTTCTGCCATGTAGGACCGACAGACTTTAGCTGTGTGTGTGATATGTATAGCCGATATGTACATGATTGTAAAGTATTTTCTTCAACAGAATCAATAAACAGAGAATATATAGTATCAAATGATGGTGTTGCTGTCATGTATTGTAAATACTGTTGAAATGGGTTTTTGTTTGTCCAAGTCCTTATATAAAAGTGCTAATGGCTTGTATCAAGTGTCAGCAGTCTGAGATGTTGGTAAGGCATTAAAAACAAAGGACCATTGTCAAACTGTGATTTTTTTGTTTGGGTAACATCTTCATTCAACCAGATCCCAGCACACAGACCTACTACAGTCCAGCAACCAGGTTTCACCTACCGGTATTGCTTATTATTTCTTAAATGTTTCAAAATCACAATTTACTGTTCTATTAACTCAGAGTTCTGTAATGAGGTACAGCATAGAGTGAGTGAAACAGTGGAAGAGCTGCTTCCAATAGGCAGACAGAACCTGAGATCTCACAGACATAAACATGGCAGAGACATAGACATATGATCCTCTTAGTACATGTAATACAAACGGTGTATGAAATAAGGACCATCTGACCGCCGGAGATAGGCTAGATTTCTGATGGATGGTCTAAATTTACAGCTAGTCAGCTTGATGGTCTGGTGAAAAGTTTAGATAACATGTTCCATACATGTGAGTAAAAGTTGAGTTATTTTCTTTGGATTGTCTGCTCTGGTTAAATCCACTTGGGCTGGTAACATTATGAAGTTACTAGCAGCGATGTCTGGCAGGGTTTTTGACTTAATTCATACACTAATACAAGTTACATTTTTAATTTCTTGTATCACATACATATATTTTATTGACTATTTTGAATAAGAAAGAATACTAGCTGACTGTCTCCCAATGTATGTATTCATAAAAACATGCAAAAACAACACATCATGCTACAAAGACGTATTGGCAACAACTGGCTGGTAGTCAGTTTACAAGTAAGGGATGATGCTTTTATTATGTTCGTAAATCATAAATGCTCTTCCCTGGGTGAATGCTGAGAGAGAGAGTGAGAGAGAGAAAGAGAGAAAGAGATATGGAAGAAGAAAATATACACAACACTATATTTACAGAACATGATACTGATGACATGCTTAGTACTTTGAATGAAAACCAGCTTCTCTTGAGAAAATCATTAAGTACCAGTTATTTGGTTTTAAAACTTCAGCCACTTCACATGAAGCAATCATATATTTCAACATGTGTAACAAGAAATCTAATATCTTCATAACAAAACACTACAGTAAACAATATATATACAAAAACATGATTACATTTCGAAATTTGCTCAGTGGAAGGTTTAAAGGTGTTCACATGAAAACCACTGTATTAGTTCCTTTACAAGACAAGCACAGCATCCATGATGAAAGGTAACATGTTGGAGTAGAGATGTCTGACAGACTGTTTACAGTTCCATAGGAGCTGTGGTTCTTGGAGCTCCACATTAGTGTCTGAACATTTGACACCAATCTCTTTAAATATGCTGGTTTGCCTCTGCCGTGAATGAATGATGGCAGACTCCTACTTATAATGTTCACATATCTTCATGAACTCAATGATGGAGCGGGAGATGTTGTCATCAGGAGAACCATCACTTGCCACAACTGCCTTGCGTCCAAACTCCTTCGCCTGAAACAGAGATTACACAATTGAAATGAAGAAATCTTTACAAGAACGTTTAGTTCTAATATTGACTCTCTGACCAAAGAGTTTCGATCTGAATGCAGATTCTAAACTGAAGTAAAAGGACACTAACATGTGTACATTCGTCACCACTTGCCCCTTTCCGTAACCTCCAAGAAGACTCGTCCCCCACTCGATACTTGTTATGTGCGAAAATACGACAAACCAATCAGAACAGGCGTAAATGAGCGCGGTGCTTTGATAAAAATAATCCTGAGTACTTAAATCGTTTATGGCATTATGTCATTGTTTAAAAAATCATGAAAAATATATATCACCATATTGAAAGTACAAAGAACGTAACTAAAAGGATTTTGCTGCAAATTATGAAGTTTTTAATAAGAATCATGCGAGTGACGGTGAGAGATTCAAATACACGCACGTGCGTTTGTTGACATAACTGCTCTCATGGGTCCAACTGAGTATTTCTGACGATCTTGCGAGATTGTACGTGCGCTTCGACCAATTTTAGGAAATGTAATTATAATCGCTACCAGTTTCAAAAAAAATAATATCGTATTTGTATGTAACTAATCAACCTTAACCTTAATCTTTAACATTGGGCTTATATTTCATATCTCTGGGGATATTTTAGTCCGACTGTTTTTTGGTCATTCATATTTTTTTCAGCGAATTCATTTAAAATTCCACCAGGGGTGTGACAGCAAGGTTACACGAATGTTCAGTTTGAGAAATATTTTAAAGTCATATTTGAGTATCTGCTTTGGGATTTAATGTAGCTGAATTTTTTAAATTTTATTTGTATATTCAATAAAACAATTCCCATTTGTGATGATAAAACCCTATTAAGAACCCTATTAATTAAGATAATTGGAAATATAAGCTGAACAGCTGGTAATAATTACATTAGAATATGTCTTTAACAAATATGTTTTTCTCCTTCTTTTAGTTGTATCAAAGAGGTTTAATTCTTTAAATAAATAAGTGAAAAAAACCAAAAAACAACAACCTAAGCAATACAATGTACATGTGCTTCGGTGATTTTTAGAAACATTGGAATCAAACAGGGATAGAGTTATCGTTCTTGTTTAAAGTAGTTCTGATGTTCATGCGCCAATATGAAATCCTTCGAGAGGGGCATGAGTCGCTATTCGGCTTGTCCCGGAATAACACGAGTGGGTCACGTGTAGTCTCCCCAGCATTTTACTAACAAACAATTACTGTATATATTAACTTGATCTATCATGAGGTATGAATAACCATGTTCAATAAATGCTTTGAGTTTCTCATTTATGAAAACAAGAATCATAAAAAGACATATATATTAGCAGAATCTGTTTCCAATGAGCCAGGGCCCCGTTTCACAAAGCTCTCGTAAGCCTAAGATCTCGTAACTTTTCTCGTAGCATCCGTACTTCCTATGTTACCGTATAGGAGGTGTGAATGCTACAAAAAAGGTTACGAGATCATAGGCTTATGAGAGCTTTGTGAAACGGGGTCGATGTATAAGAGTTACGACAGTCACACTGTGATAGCTGTGTGAAACAGGTCTCCGAATACTGTGTGTAAAGCTGTTTGTGTGTGTACCCACCCTCTTGATGTCCTGGAAAACAAAGTATAACATAGCCAGGGCGTGGCACACAGTGGCCAGATCCTCGGCGGCACGGTTCGGCTGATGTTCCCGCATGTCGTACATGGCGTTCAGGACCTGGATGGCTTCAGCCTCCTGGGCCTCGTCTGTGTCACAGCAGAAACACAACAAGGGTGAAACAGGGAAATAAAGGAGATGTCTACCAGGGTTATAGGGGTATTTTACAGGGGGGAAACAGAGACATATTAGCGCTATAGCAATATAACTGAGATGAATATATATCAGGGTTACAACAACATAACTGGAATGAAACAGGAGTCAGTGAGTGAGTTTAGTTTTACGCCGCACTCAGCAATATTCCAACTATATGGCGGCGGTCTGTAAATAATCGAGTGTGGACCAGACAATCCAGTGATCAACAGCATGAGAATTGATCTATGCAACTGGGAACCGATGACATGTCAACCAAGTCAGCAAGCCTGACCACCCGATCCTGTTAGTCACCTCTTACAACAAGCATGGGTTACTGAAGATCAATTCTAACCCGGATCTTCACAGGTCAAATGAAAGAGGAACGTAACAAGGATATATTAAGGTTACAAGAGTATAACAGGGACTGAAAGAGTTATTAGTGAAGAGTTATTCCTGCAATATCAGCTACAGGGACACCAGAAATGGGCTTAAACATTGTGCCCATGTGGATAATGGAACCGGGTTTTTGGTGAATACAAGAGTATAAAAGGGATGAAAGAGTTATAAGTGAAGAGTTATAGCTGAGTTATCAGCTACAGGGAAAAGAGAGGGGTATAAAACAAACATGGATAAGGATAGAAAAGGGATAAATTGGTAACAGAAGAAAACAGGTATGAACACAACATGGATAAGGAAAGGAAAGGGATACATTGGTAACAGGAAGAAAACAGGTATGAACATGGATAAGGTAGGAAAGGGATACATTGGTAACAGGAAGAAAACAGGTATGAACACAACATGGATAAGGATAGAAAAGGGATACATTGGTAACAGGAAGACAACAGGTATGAACACAACATGGATAAGGATAGGAAAGGGATACATTGGTAACAGGAAGACAACAGGTATGAACACAACATGGATAAGGATAGGAAAGGGATACATTGGTAACAGGAAGAAAACAGGTATGAACACAACATGGATAAGGATAGGAAAGGGATACATTGGTAACAGGAAGAAAACAGGTATGAACACAACATGGATAAGGATAGGAAAGGGATACATTGGTAACAGGAAGAAAACAGGTATGAACACAACATGGATAAGGATAGGAAAGGGATACATTGGTAACAGGAAGAAAACAGGTATGAACACAACATGGATAAGGATAGGAAAGGGATACATTGGTAACAGGAAGAAAACAGGTATGAACACAACATGGATAAGGAAAGGAAAGGGATACATTGGTAACAGGAAGAAAACAGGTATGAACACAACATGGATAAGGATAGGAAAGGGATACATTGGTAACAGGAAGAAAACAGGTATGAACACAACATGGATAAGGATAGGAAAGGGATACATTGGTAACAGGAAGAAAACAGGTATGAACACAACATGGATAAGGATAGGAAAGGGATACATTGGTAACAGGAAGAAACAGGTATGAACACAACATGGATAAGGATAGGAAAGGGATACATTGGTAACAGGAAGAAAACAGGTATGAACACAACATGGATAAGGATAGGAAAGGGATACATTGGTAACAGGAAGAAAACAGGTATGAACACAACATGGATAAGGATAGGAAAGGGATACATTGGTAACAGGAAGAAAACAGGTATGAACACAACATGGATAAGGATAGGAAAGGGATACATTGGTAACAGGAAGAAAACAGGTATGAACACAACATGGATAAGGATAGGAAAGGGATACATTGGTAACAGGAAGAAAACAGGTATGAACACAACATGGATAAGGAAAGGAAAGGGATACATTGGTAACAGGAAGAAAACAGGTAAGAACACAACATGGATAAGGATGGGAAAGGGATACATTGGTAACAGGAAGAAAACAGGTATGAACACAACATGGATAAGGATAGGAAAGGGATACATTGGTAACAGGAAGAAAACAGGTATGAACACAACATGGATAAGGATAGGAAAGGGATACATTGGTAACAGGAAGAAAACAGGTAAGAACACAACATGGATAAGGATAGGAAAGGGATACATTGGTAACAGGAAGAAAACAGGTAAGAACACAACATGGATAAGGATAGGAAAGGGATACATTGGTAACAGGAAGAAAACAGGTATGAACACAACATGGATAAGGATAGGAAAGGGATACATTGGTAACAGGAAGAAAACAGGTATGAACACAACATGGATAAGGATAGGAAAGGGATACATTGGTAACAGGAAGAAAACAGGTAAGAACACAACATGGATAAGGATAGGAAAGGGATACATTGGTAACAGGAAGAAAACAGGTATGAACACAACATGGATAAGGATAGGAAAGGGATACATTGGTAACAGGAAGAAAACAGGTATGAACACAACATGGATAAGGATAGGAAAGGGATACATTGGTAACAGGAAGAAAACAGGTAAGAACACAACATGGATAAGGATAGGAAAGGGATACATTGGTAACAGGAAGAAAACAGGTATGAACACAACATGGATAAGGATAGGAAAGGGATACATTGGTAACAGAAGAAAACAGATATAAAACAAACATGGATAAGGATAGGAAAGGGATACGTTGGTAACAGGAAGAAAACAGGTATGAACACAACATGGATAAGGATCGGAAAGGGATACGTTGGTAACAGGATGAAAACAGGTATGAACACAACATGGATATGTCAGTAACATAACACATATAACAGGAACACCACAAGGATTCCATAAGAAAACATTTATATAAGTTTCATATTTGTGTTAACAATGGGCAGTAGTCCACCAACCTAGTGGCTCCTCCTCTTCCTCCAGGGTCTCCACGGCCCCAGGTCCAACACCTTTAGGGATCTCTGGGGTCCGGGTGCGTGACATGACGATGCGGTTCAGGTGATGATGCCAAATGTTCGTCACCTGGATCAACAGCAACATATAAACTCCTACATGACATACTCCTGGACTTGTTACACTCTATTACTGTTCTTGTTAACAATAATACACCATCAGGTGGAAGCCTGGAACATAGGAGAGGCCATCCTTTATTGTCACATCTCCATTCCAACACATCATACATGGCCAATAGTTGTTGAGCCGAAAGACACTGTTTATTTATGACAGACGACAGCAGCTACATCACACAGCAATGCCTCAACAAGTTTAACAGGACTGACTGACTGACTGAGTTTGGTTTTACGCCGCTTTTAGCAATATTCCAGCAACATCACGGCCGGGGACACCAGAAATGGGCTTCACACAAGTTTAACAGGAACAGTGGCACAGTACAATATAGGTTTAATCCCCTCTGACAGTTATAATAAAGACAGAATTAAAGGTAATTAGAAGGAGACGCAAGAAAACACAAAAATACTGTCGTGTTGATCCAATCCTGTCCTACCTGTCTGTAAAGTGTGTCAGCGATGTCCATCTTTCCCTGGCGGAAAAACACATTGGCCATGTGGAAATAGCCCCCTGAGGTCCGAATGTCCTCAGTTCCAAACTCTTCTGAGGCATGATAAATCTGATAGTGGAAAATACATCATTCTCAATCAACTTTCTCACAGTTTTAGATTATCAACAGGTGAAAGGTTTGTATAAAGAACTGTACTCCCCGCTTCTGTCAAAGTAAGGAATCTGTGCAAACATGATTACCTCTGATCAATCGGCGACCAACACCTCACAATCTTCCAAACAATATTCAGGTTTGCCATTAAGCTGACAAGGATGTTTCTGACTTTATTTATCACTAACTACCACATGCATCTAGCAGACAGTCTGCAACAACTACCTACTTATCACGTTTCTACTCAACAGTATTTCACTGTAAAGCAGTGTATAAAATAGTTTGAAATATGGCCTGTCCAAGGACTGGCTGTCAAAAAAAGTGACCAGTCCCTGAACAAACACAGCCAGCCCCAAAAACTAAAACAATGAAAAAATAATACATAAGATGAAGTTCAAACCAAGTTAAGTTTATTTTTATAAATATTTCCCCTGACCAAATGGCGACCTTACTTCTTTAATAGACCGTCCTTCACAAATATAGACCGTCAAGGACGATGGGACGGGCTATGTTTTATACACAGACTGTAAAGTTAAATATCCTGGGCATCTGTTCCTGTGCAATCATATACATGTATTACTATCAAGTCTATAGACTAATGAATCATGAAGTCCTGAGTTTATCATCATTTTACCCTGTACACAGAGGAATTATACTGTCTGTATGTTGCTGGATTAAAGAGTCCTTGTAAGCTGATATCATGTCAACAGCATCTACATCTTCCAGGTACTTACATCATCTGCCAACTGCCTCAACGCTGCACCATACTCTCCCTTGGCAGCATACAGCAGTCCCAGGTTCCTGTACAGTTTGGACTTGATGGCATTGGAACACTCTGGTGTCTTCAACACCGTCCACTGGGCCTGTGCCAGATACTCTTCCGCCTGTGCTAATCTACCTAAACCTGGGGACCACAAGACATGGTTGTGTCAAAACACCTGGATATGACTTGACATCATATCATGATGAGACACCTGGTTATCACAGGATATCTGGTTATATGACACCTGGTTGTCACAGGATATCTGGTTATATGACACCTGGTTGTCACAGGATATCTGGTTAATGACATCTGGTTGTCACAAGACAAGTGGTGATATTACACTTAGTTATCACAAAATATCTGATGACATGACACCTGGCTATCACAGGATATCTGGTGACATGACATCTGGTTGTCACAGGATATCTGATGACATGACACCTGGTTATCACAGGATATCTGGTGACATGACACCTGGTTGTCACAGGATATCTGGTGACATGACACCTGGTTGTCACAGGATATCTGATGACATGACACCTGGCTATCACAGGATATCTGATGACATGACACCTGGCTATCACAGGATATCTGATGACATGACACCTGGCTATCACAGGATATCTGATGACATGACACCTGGTTATCACAGGATATCTGATGACATGACACCTGGTTATCACAGGATATCTGATGACATGACACCTGGCTATCACAAAATATCTGATGACATGACATCTGGTTGTCACAGGATATCTGATGACATGACACCTGGTTATCACAGGATATCTGATGACATGACACCTGGCTATCACAAAATATCTGATGACATGACATCTGGTTGTCACAGGATATCTGATGACATGACACCTGGTTATCACAGGATATCTGATGACATGACACCTGGCTATCACAGGATATCTGGTGACATGACACCTGGCTATCACAGGATATCTGATGACATGACACCTGGCTATCACAGGATATCTGGTGACATGACACCTGGCTATCACAGGATATCTGGTGACATGACACCTGGCTATCACAGGATATCTGGTGACATGACACCTGGCTATCACAGGATATCTGGTTATATGACACCTGGCTATCACAGGATATCTGATGACATGACATCTGGCTATCACAAAATATCTGGTGACATGACACCTGGCTATCACAGGATATCTGGTGACATGACATCTGGCTATCACAAAATAGCTGGTGACATGACACCTGGCTATCACAAGGTAACTGGATATAACAAGACACAGGGTGAGCAGACTAAGTGACACATTTGTTGGATGGAAGCCTGTCAATATCCTGTCCTATCCAGATGTAGAGTAGGTCCCATCATTTCCTATTGTAAGGCTATAAGACAACTAATATGATGATCAGAGACTCTGTCCTCAACCTCTTGTTCGCCTGGCTGGGACACAGACATCTACACTAGTGTTGGGAATTGGTTAAAATCTCGTAATTGATGATTGGTTCATGACAACCGATCAATCATCGAAAATAATTGGTTAAGCGTCATTTATGAAATTTTCCTGGTTATTTTTGTTAATGCACAAAAAATAAAGAAAATACATGCAGTTCTTGGGGTGATTTTTGCAAATTGCACATCTTTAAAGGATGACTAGTATGTTAGGAACATAAATTTCTTGTCGTCTTTAAAATAAATTCAGTTGTGACTTTGAATGAGCATGTTGTGTTCATGAAATGTAACAGACAAAACCAACCGTGTGAAAAATATTGTTAATGCAAAAAGTGTTCCAGAATTGTTTGTGTTCGATTATGAGAAAACATGATAGATTGCTTGGTCGTTTAGTCATTGCGACCAATCTTCGATTTTTTCAATTAATCGGACCACCACTAATCTACACAGCACTAAGATACACGTACTGAGGTTTACAACATCCACTAAACTACCAGTAGATCCTTAGTAATGTGACCTAACATTTCCATATCAATATAGAGAAAAGAAATGACGTCAATTCTCAAACAATATAACCCAACATTCTCATCTGACTGATTGTAATTCTTGTTGGTATATAATGTGGAAATGTACCTATGCTTGCTTCTCCCAGGATGAGGTATGATGGCACCAGCTCTATACTGGACAAGCCATGGACGTCGATGGAGAACCTCAGGGACTGCATCGCTGCTGGTACTGCCTGCTCATGCTTCCCCTCAAACAACAACTTCTGACCTGTCGTCCGTGTCAGGTCGATCATGTGCCGCTGTCAAGGACATGTGTTGATTTAGTATCATTGATATTACTAACCAGACAAGTGCAGCTGAAGTCACAATAAATTACTAGATTTTGTTTGTTTGTTTGTTCTGCTCACCTTTTTCACAGATAATTCCTTTTCCCTCTTTTGTCGCTCCTCATCTGATGGGAGGAAGGGAGCACTTACACGAAGTGGGACAAGACTATCACAGATCTTCTCATGGATGCCAAGCCAATCAGCCTTCTGATGCTCTGCCCCACTGGAATATGACAAATCATGTAATATATTAGATGCTGAAGGATCATCTCACACCAAGTCAACATCTGTCATGTTCATTTTTCAAGGCATCCGTGGTGTAGTGGTTAGAGCGTCTGCCCGGAGAGCGGAAGGTCGCATCCCGACCGCGTCATACTAAAAGACGTTAAAATATGGTACTTGTTGGTCCATGTCTGGCGCTCGGCATTACTCGGTATTAATGGGTACAATAAGGACTGGTCGACTCGGAGTCAGTATACTGTGTCTGAGTGGGGTATTCATGCTTCACTGCGGCATGGTATCTCAGTGAGCTAGCACTATAAAACCAGCTTAAGTCTGGGCTAGTACAAGCAGCACCACATACACATAGACACGCATGCACGTCGTCATATGAGTGAAATGTTCTCAAGCACGACGTTAAACCCAATTTCACCTCAACTCACCTCATTTTTCAAATATTTTACTTTCACATATCACCTGCTGATATATTTATGATATATAAATGGCTGCACCAAATCTGCTATGAGTATGAGGCTACTACTATGATAAATATCCCAAATAGGGGCAATCAATGCATATATTGGGTATTGAAAACAACAACATGTCAGCAGATAATGTATTATTCAATATGTTCAGTGAATCAAGTACTAAAAACTTCACTGACATGTTTTGACCGTGATGACAGTGTAAATTTATCATGACAATTACCAGTGGAAACAGTACTGTCAAATTAAACATATAAAAGCAGTGACTATTATCCTGCCTGGCTTGGATATATTCCGTTTTGCATACCTTGCTTTGATAAATAACACCCAAATGAACGTAAAAACACTCCTTTAAAAACATTCATGAATAACTGATTCACATGACCACAAATAATAAACTGAATTAATGAAGTGATATGGTTTAATTTAACCATGTGAGTGAATCAAAACAAACCTTATAGATATGAACCTACAACATCTACACACATGGCTGACCAATACACACTACAGAAACTTGCAACTTTAGAGATACTTCTAAGATGCCTAGCGGTTAGAACAATCGAAAAAACAAACATTATCAGACAATAAAGGTATAGTTTTTTGATGACGTAACAACTGAATGACGTTATCCCGTCACTGCGCCATTCTAGTCTGCCCCCTCATAATCGAACCATTTTACATTATGTCACAATGTAAGCGACGTCACGATGCATGTCAGTTGTCATCGCCTCGTAAGGCCTCCTACAGTAAACTACTCCGTTGCATCCCGTTTCTTGGTTTGCAGTTGCTTCATGCAGCTAACAACACTGGTGGAAACATTACGTTTATGTTTTACGACGGTTAAAATGTGTCAATTCGACTCACAAGTTTTCAGCGATACGGTAACGTTCGCAATGTCATACATTCCCACAATGCAATCGTGGAATGTCGCTTGACTACTCAGCTTCATCTGGATGTACTCATCTAAACTTACGTTGGTAGTAGAAATGCGACATTCATATTGCCCGATATGGTTTACGTTAATGACAGATGTAATTAAAATAATTCAGAGAAGATATTTAATCTGAACATAAACCGTCATCAAACTGTTATCATTTGCTTTTTTCTGGTAACATTCGTCTTAACGTAGGGGGGCAGACACATCAATAGAACAGCGAGCCAGTTAGCCCTGTGCGAGCATTCTTAATTTAGGTCACCGACACCGTCGTTAGTTTACTGCCTTAAATTAATCTTAATTATCCTTAGAAAGTATTACATTTGGCATCTTAGAAAAGAAATACAGTTTGCTCTACCACCATGTATAGTGTAATAAAGCACACTTTCGCCCTGAACTATTATAACGTAAACTCACTCGGACGCAAGCGCCCTCGTACTTTAACTATAATAGTTCAGGGCAAAAGTGTGCTATATTACACTATACATGGTGGTAGAGCGAACTGTAATTCTTAATTAATGGCAGTGACAATTTGGTATCCACAGGCCATCCTGGTGGAGATTCTTGACTGGAATACACCCCAGCAACATATACATGGTTACATGAGGCAAATTAATGGATTGGTGTCCAGGTTTGATGACCTGTCATTGTGACACGTTAGTGAGGATCGTGTTCATGATGTTAATCACTGTCATGTCTGGTCCAGACACTGTTACATGCTTGTCTCTGTCACACCATGTGAATATCATCACATTGGTTTCAGACATCATATGACAGTATTTACGTTGTGTAATGATTTGTTTTGCATGATGGCACTAATTCAATGTAAAACACTGGGATGATGGCTTGTATTTAAGATAAAGTTGTTCATATCATTAGTGAGAGAACAGCAAATGTTTCTGAAGCATCCCAAGCAAACAATACACTATATACAGGGATATTGTGTAGCATAACACATTGATAATTGCCTGCATCTTATATCATCTTGCACATATAGAGTTTATATCTAGACAACTTAGACAATATAGTTACTATCTGCAATGCCAAAAACTATTCAATTCATACACAACTGAATATAAACTTTTGTTACACCAGTTACAGTTGTTCATAGCTTGTGATAAAACACTGGAGTGGATTTGTTACTAAAATTATCATGTTTGAGGCAAGCAAATTCTCCAATAAGTTTGAGGCAAGTAAATACACCAATAAGTTTGAGGCAAGCAAATCCTCCAATAAGTTTCAATAATGCACCAGACCTCGGTAACTAGAATGTTTGGTAACTAGGGCATATTTATAGGTTTTTACATCTGGATAGTTAGTTTGAATTTCAAATTTTCTGATGATGCTGCTTTGGTTGGGTTTATTCGTCAATCGGAGTTAGAGTATAGGAGAAATATTGATGCGTTTACTTCATGGTGCAAAGACAATTTCCTCTCCCTGAACATAAACAAAGGAAATGATAATTAACTTCCGAAGCAAAAAAAGAAAACTGATACCAGTTTGTATTGATGGACAGGAAGTAGAAACAGTAGAAGAGTATAAATATCTGGGTACTATCATTGATAATAAACTTTCATGGAAATCAAATTCACATTGTGTACATAGGAAAGCACAACTGAGGCTTTTCTTTCTGCGAAAATTGCGATCATTTAATGTAGACACTAATATCTTAAAATGATTCTACCAAACATTCATTAATAGTATTTTAACTTTCTGCTTTCATGCCTGGTATGGCAATCTTCCTCTTAAACAGAAAACAAACTTGACAAAATTGTAAACATATCCAGCAAAATTTGCGGCTTCAATTTCGAACCTCTACCTTTTCAGTATGAATCAACAGTTAAGAAGAAAGCCCTGGCCATTCAATCGGATCCATCACACTTTTTAAATGAATGTTATGAACTTCTGCCTTCTGGCCACTGTTTCAAAATCATGTTTTACAAAACTAATAGAACTTCAAAATCATTTGTCCCATACAGCATAAAACCTCTTAATCTTCCTCCAAAATTGTAATAATGAAATCTATGATGAGGCACGAGTGATTATTATATCATGAACTTTGATTATGTTATAATTCAACATTATATTCTGATTAGCTTGGCATTGTGTATATATACTTTAAATCATTTGTTGTTATATTCTTGTATTGGCTCTTTGAATGCAAGACAAATTTCCCTTGCGGGACAATAAAGTTTATTTTATCTTACCATAGACATCTCCGGAGCACCTGTCAAAATCATGTTATGAATTAAAAAATCCTTGACTGTTATTTACAGTCACCTACATTCGACGCGAACATTATCGAATCACTTGCCATATGACATCATGATTCGGTCATTGCACGTACTAGCATAAACATGATGACAATTAATGGCAACAAAGAAACGTGGACCCACTGGAGGTGAAGAAATTGGAGAAGAAACGGTCAACTTACCAGTAATAGGTCACTCTGCAGTGCATGCATTGTATAAAGGCTGGCTTTTGACAAAGTTCACAGAGTAATTTCAGCCCCTTTGGGTTTGATAGAGGATTGAGTGTCATATTTTCTAAAATGTCGGGAATAACCACTATGTATTGACACTACTTCTCTGCTTCATGCTGTCATTCCGCCATTGTTGTTTATCTCGTTGCTATTGCTAATGCGCATGTGCGGATATCGCCTATCGGAATCTTTCGGACAACACCGTAACGCGCCACAAGCCGAATAGCGAGGTTACGGAAAGGGGCGAGTGGTGACGAATGTATTGTTCTCGGATTTCGTTGCTCAGCGGAACATCCCATAGAGCCTGGTAAACTTCTGGCGGCACAAGTGAAAATGAGTGTCAGATGCATAGGCATTAGAAAACATGACGACTTATCCTTAAATTGGCTCGTTAATTACTATTCAACATGTGATTACATACGTTGTGCAACCTTAATTAAGATGTGAATCCATGAGTGCCCCTTTAACTAATTAAGCCGTAACCGATCAATTAATCGTTAAATGTAATTAAAAGCAGAATGGTATGTTTTGGGGCATAAACTTATAACCGGAAAATCATCAAAACCATGCTTCTAAATATATAAATTAAAAATATTTAACGATTATATATTTGGCAAGTGTGAACATAAATGGATAATCTATCTTGAGAACATTTTCAACAATCTTGGACTGAGTTTCATCTGGAAATCCCCAAATTTTAAAATTATATTTTGGCTTAAAGCCGTTATCAAAAGTAAATTAAAAGATATTTATCAGCAAACATGGATGTCAACAATCGAAACCTCTTCCAAAGCAACCATTTATAGCATTTTCAAAAATCCTTTTCTCAATTTTGAACCATACCTAAATTGTCTGCATTACAATAACTTCTTGAAATTTCGAACTTCCAATCATTTTCTTCCAATCGAGACAGGTAGATGGCGACGAATCCCAGTAAATGATAGAAAGAGTGAGTGAGTGAGTTTAGTTTTACGCCGCACTCAGCAATATTCCAGCTTCATGGCCGCGGTGTGTAAATAATCGAGTCTTGACCAGACAATCCAGTGATCAACAGCATGAGCATTGATCTGCGCAATTGGGATCCGATGACATGTGTCAACCAAGCCAGCAAGTCTGACCACCCGATGCCGTTAGTCGCCTCTTACGACAAGCATGGGTTACTGAAGGCTCATTCTAGCCCGGACGTTCACGGGTGATAGAAAGTGTACTACGTGTAGCCTAAATGATATTGGTGACGAATTACATTATTTATTTATATGTCCCAAATTAGAATTAGAAAGGGAATAATGTATGGCCATTTTGACTTTTTCTATGGCCATTTTAACTTTTTGGTAATAGCTTTGCATTACTTCAACATGAAGTTTCCGTTGCTTCATTCTCCAAAATATCTTAATGTTGTTCATTTTGCTTTGCCGTGATACAGAAGGAACTTGGTTTTTAAAACTATATCGTGCCATACAATTATCGTTTAAAGGCCTTTTAAACCTTGTAACATATGTTATATTTGGGATTACACTTTCTTAGTAAAATACAAATTCTAGTACTTGTGTTGGGTTGAGTCCTATTCGGGACTTACGCGACCCATGTTGTAGAAACGTGTCGGTTTTGTGTTTATCGACCATAATATGTGAGCAGATGGGAAATGACTAAACACTCCCCTCGGTCATATCCAGGCACCTAGCTAGCATGAAGTGCAATGAAGTGATGGAATATATGTTAACGCCAAAGTTAGTTCTATTTCAAACACGATCAGGGCGGCCAGTGAATAATCTATTCTGGACCAGACAAGCATATGATCAATAACAATCAAATTACAGTGATATCATATTATATTTGGTTAGTTGTGCCCCACCCCACCCCCCTTTGAGAAAAGTTAACTACGACCCTAAATCTAAGTTTATCTCATTTCATAAGACGTTAGCAGGTGAACGTGACGTGGGTATTAACAGGTTAAGTCTCAAGCCAATGGCGTGACAGTTGGCAGGCATGCTTCTATCTGTAACAAGGAAGTCTTTACGTGGGGGTGGAATCGAGTTACTGAGGTTTTATAGCTACGAGGTTGTACTCGATCGCACCGCCAACCATTACAATTACAATACCAACCTACTCACTAACACAAACATTCCTCATTTTGTAGCCCACCTTTGTTTACATTTATGACTCGTGGGTTTGAGGCGGTTATTGAGTGATTGGGTGAGTGAGTGAGTGTTTACTGTTTTACGCCGCTTGTAGCAATATTCCAGCAATATCACGACGGGGGACACCAGAAATGGGCTTCACACATTGTACCCATGTGGGGAATCTTTGGCGTGACGAGCGAACGCTTTAACCACTAAGCTACCCCACCGCCCCTGAGGCGGTTATTAATACAATGTGTTAAAATATAATTAGAAGGTTGTTAGTCTATCTAGATATCTCACGTCGAAAGATGCTCATGCTGTCAGTCACTGGACTGTCTGGTGCAGATTCTGTTATCTTCAGACCGCTGTCATAATAATTTGTATATAATAATTCATTTATATAGCGGCTAGTATCGATCTGACTGGTTGCTCACTGGACGCTGTAATCAGAATCTGATCAGTATTACAGGATAACAAGCTGACTTATCTCACCGGGTACCCATTTTCTGCTGGGTGAACGGAGGTAATTTTGAACAAACTCACCTGCCTAAGGTGAGACCACAGGTATGACATGTGCTTCGTTGTGGGGCAGGACTGAAGTCCTAGAAACTCCCAGGAGTCAAGCTGCCAAACACAGTCACCCATCCAAAGACTCTCCGTGCTCGACGTTGCTTATCTTCAACAGATTCGTGATCTCAGCTCTACGCACAGGACCACACAACAACACATATGCTGGAAAACCGCTGACTGAGATATTAAAGGCAACACACAAAACAAACCTGCCTGTCTGCCTGTCGACAGACAAAGTATTAGACGGGCACAATATTCAAATGGTCAGAGAACCTTCAGCCTTTACTTTCCAAACGTTTCATGGTAGGAGGCAGAATCACTGACAAGAATACTGTTCCCAATTCCTACAGTGCTACGGACTTCACCAGAGATCCTATGATCATTCACCTGGTTTTTGTAACATTAATTTTAGTTCTTTCAATATCAAAGCTACGGTTTAAACATCATTACTGATATTCCTTAATATAAAGATATTCCTTAAGCAAAGGCGCGTCCTCATACTTTTCCTTCAGTCCTATGATCATGGAACATCTAATGTTGGTTCTTTCAACATCAAAGCTCGTTTTAAATATCATTACTGATATTCCTTAAAAAGGTGCCTCAATGTGGGTGTCCATTATGTGTAGTCGCAGTATGTCTTCCTTGATCTACATATACTGACAGAACTTGTCGTATGAGGTGACTAACGGGATCAGGTGGTCAGGCTCGCTGATTTGGTTGACCGTGAAGATCCGGGTTAGAGCTGATCTTCAGTAACCCATACTTGTCGTATGAGGTGACTAACGGGATCAGGTGGTCAGGCTCGCTGATTTGGTTGACACATGTCATGGAATCCCAAGTACGAACATCGATGCTCATGCTGTTGATTACTAAATTGTCTGCTCCAGACTCGATTATTTACAGACATATAGCTGGAATATTGCTAAGTGCGGCGTAAAAATAAACTCACTCACTAACTGATGAAGTAAATAGTGCATAAGTTGTTCCCTGAAACAGCATATTATGAACAATTGTTTCAAACATAATTGTTATTGTTGGTTAAAACATACAAAACTCAACCCAGTGATATAAATTATACAGGATGCTCACAGAATCTGTCCGGATCGGGTGGTCAGGCTCGCTGACTTGGTTGGCACATGTCATCGGTTCCCAATTGTGCTCATGCTGTTGATCACTGGATTGATTGTATGGTCCACACTCGATTATTTACACACCGCTGCCATATAGCTGGAGTATTTCTGAGTGTGGCGTAAAACTGAACTCACTCACTCACTCAGAATCTATCAGTACCCAGTACACAGTACCCAGAATAAACAGTAATTCCGTCAAATGTTATTTTGGTGTTAAGTTCACAGTTAGTAACTGGTCGTTCCCTTTCCGGCTGATGTGACCATGACACCTGAGATTACCTGATGCACCCCATTTGTCCAGTGGCCTGTTTCTGAGAAAGGATTTTAGAAATTTTAACCTGCTATTTTCATGGACATATACGGAATGAAAACTGAGGCATATCTATTTCAAAACTGAAAATTTTACTACTTCGCCCATTACTGTTCCTTGATCAAAACTCATATTGTTTAATTTGCAATTAAATGACATTGTGCCTACTAAGCTTCACGACATATGATTTAATGTGATCTTTTCGTTTATCAAATAATTATACATTTTTGAATAACCGTGTGATCATCTATGTCATACACGATGACTTGAATGTGATTCCGGGCAAAGAAGCGTTTTATTGTATGACTTATGAGATGTATTCCATTCCTACATCTCGTTAGGAATTAAGTTAGTATATTATTATTAATTATTAAGTATATTCTATTAATTTGTAGCGTTAAAGACAATGCTGAAAATAACTAATTTGACCGTTATGCACACATGTATAATAAATATATCTACAAGTATCTTCACACTACAGCCAGTCATGGTGGTCCAGCTGATTCAGCCTTTCCGTGAGAGGAAACATGGCAGTTCGACCCCCGGTATAAGGAAGCCGCGTGTTGTTTCCCTATCCCAGGCATGCGCAGTGAGGGGTTAAAGCAAAGACCGATCGGCTCTGGGTTAGTAAACCATGTCGGGTGTCCATGCTTTACAGCAGCACAGTACTTGCTGTGGACTGACACAACTAGAGTGCCTCTTTTAACAAACAAGGTTAAACACAACAATCATTAATTACTCTCATTCCAGCCTAGGACATTATTAAACTATCTGTAGAGGACGGCAACTTGACGTTTTGCGACGCTTCCTGAAAAGACCAATGAAACGACTAACAGGTGAGGTGAGGTGAAATTCGTGCTTGAGAATATTTCGCTCATATGACGACGTGCATGCGTGTGTATGTGTATGTGCGGCTGCTTGTACTAGCCCAGACTTAAGCTGGTTTTATAGTGCTAGCCCACTGAGATACCATGCCGCAGTGAAGCATGAATACCCCACTCAGACACATTATACTGACTCCGAGCCGACCAGTCCTTGTTGTACCCATTAATGCCGAGCGCCAGGCAGGGACCAACAAGTACCATATTTTAACGTCTTTTGGTATGACGCGGTCGGGGATCGAACCCGCGACCTTCCGCTCTCGGGCGGACGCCTAACCGACTAACAGGGAGTTAACGAACAGAAATCAGTATTCTCGACTTTCATTCCAAACTATGCTTTTTGAAACATCTTGAAATATGAAATTTAAAATATATAACTTAAACAAAACACATGAAATATCTGACATGGAATGGAATCTGAGATTATATAGCAGTAGTTTCCACGAGGTTAATCAGTGCAGCATTCCATATAGCTTATACATTGTGAAACATGCATCCTTTCACTTCTTCACCAAGGAACTCGCCCTGGACAGCCCTGATATCTGCCATCTCAAAATATGTCTGGATCTTTTCTTGAGACAGGGGCGGTGGGGTAGCCTAATGGTTAAAGCGTTGGCTCGTCACGCCCAAGACCCGGGTTCGAAATCCCCAGATGGGTACAATGTGTGAAGCCCATTTCTAGTGTCCCCGCCGTGATATTGCTGGAATATTGCTAAAAGCGGCGTAAAACCTAACTCAGTCAGTCAGTCAGTTTCTTGAGACAAAGGTAGCTTTAGGTAGCCCTGACCGTGGATATTGAGACGACTCCCGAAACGGCGACATGAAGCAAAAGTGCAGCTGCGTACTTCTGGAGCTGGTAGAGGGCCGGCACGTGAGGCATCTCTCTGCTACGTGATAAATTCTTGCCATAATTGTGATAAACTTTAGAATTTGTGGAAATATATACATTCATATCTTGGTAAAAGCAGACAAAATGAGTTGAGATCTTAGTGTCAATATATTTACATCATCCAAGAGTTTCAAACGTTATTACAGTGGAAGCCCTCTAAACCGGCAGCCCTCCAATCCTGTACATGCATGGCAGGCGTTTGTGACGACAATGATGTCCAAAGTGATTCACCATTTTCACGTTCACCATATGTTTACCTTTCTTCATTGTAAAAGCTTTTTTATCGTAAAGGGCTGGGTGGCAACCATTTTAAATTTCTCAAGTGAAGAGCTTTCTCCGTTGTCAATTGGAACAATTCCATAAATGTTTATCAACGTTTTATTACAAAATATACATCATCAACGTAGTATAATATAATAATAGAAACATTTGTTATGTACATTGAACTCTTCTTTCACAAATCTGCGTTATATCATCATAAAATCTCCTCATTTCTGAGCATTAGAGGTGAGGTGAGGTGTAATTGGGTTTTACTTCGTGCTTGAGAATATTTCGCTCATATGACGACGTGCATGCGTGTGTATGTGTAGGTGCGGCTGCTTGTACTAGCCCAGACTTAAGCTGGTTTTATAGTGCTAGCCCACTGAGATACCATGCCGCAGTGAAGCATGAATACCCCACTCAGACACATTATACTGACTCCGAGCCGACCAGTCCTTGTTGTACCCATTAATGCCGAGCGCCAGGCAGGGACCAACAAGTACCATATTTTAACGTCTTTGGGTATGACGCGGTCGGGGATCGAACCCGCGACCTTCCGCTCTCCGGGCGGACGCTCTAACCACTACACCACGGAGGCGGTCTCTAAGCATTAGAATCAATACAACTGGTTGCCAAGGAACAGAACTGTGAGGGGTAGTTACAAGGGCACAGTTTTTCTTGCACATCCGGCTATTCTCTGCCCACGTACCACTAGAGCTGAGCATCCGGATATTCTCTGCCCACGTAGCACCACCAGATGGCGTCACGTTGACAGTCTGCATGTGACTTTTAGACAAGAGTATCGCGACGTCTGCGCATCCGTAAAACTGTTCCGGACAGAATGAAAGATATCTCTAATTGAATTGAAGACATCTTTAATATGTTTGTGGATATGTATAACGTATATCAAGATATCTTCGATTGAATTCAAGATAACGTGAATATGAGTATGTGCAATGTGATCTGCCAGAACCTTTAAGTTTTCAAAATTTATTTTTCACATGAAACCTGTTTGCCTGAGATTAAATTTTATCAGATTTGTCATGCGTGATAACACTGTGAGTCTTAAGCTATGACAGTTGGTAGGTATGTGTCTACTTTAACTCAGAGTTGTTTAACTGAGAGTTGTTTACTTAGGTATGTGTCTACTTTAACTGAGAGTTGTTTACTTAGGTATGTGTCTACTTTAACTCAGAGTTGTTTACTTAGGTATGTGTCTACTTTAACTGAGAGTTGTTTACTTAGGTATGTGTCTACTTTAACTCAGAGTTGTTTACTTAGGTATGTGTCTACTTTAACTGAGAGTTGTTTACTTAGGTATGAGTCTACTTTTAACTGAGAGTTGTTTACTTAGGTATGTGTCTACTTTAACTGAGAGTTGTTTACTTAGGTAGGTGTCGGTGAGTTGTTTACTTAGGTGTGTCTACTTTAACTGAGAGGTGTGAGGTGAAATTGTTTACTTAATGATTACTTTTAACTGAGAGTTGTTTACTTGTACGGCACTGCACTATGCCGGTTTTACAATACCAGGGTGCTGACATTGGGCACCGCTGTTTAACACAAATACCCCTCATTATGTATTCCACCTTTGTCATTTATGACTCGTGGGTTTGGGTCGGCTAATTATACAATGTGTTATTATATGCTTGGAACGTTGTTCGTCTACCTTCAATACCAGGGTGCTGACATAGGGCACCGCTGTTTAACCATTTTATGCTCGTAGAACGATGCTCATGCTGTCAGTCACTGGATTGCCCGGTCCAGATATTATTACCTTCAGAGCGCAGCCATATGCTGGGAGAGTGCAGAGTGAGCCGTCAGGAAACAGCACACAAAACATACCTCCCTGATAATGTATTACCCGGATACAACATTCACATGCTTAGTCACGTGTCAGGCAGTAGCGGGTACCCGTAAGTAAAAAGTGGCTCGTCTCACGTAATACCCATATTATCAGGTAATGTACCATGCAAATACGACAGAAGCGATCGATTTGTACGGCACTTTTATGTTGCAAATGTGTCGAAATAGACCGAAGCACTCATTATAAAAACACAAGAATATAACAGACACACAACGTGAGTTCATATGTTCAGTCAGTCAGTGTCTACGCTAAAGTCAGCCCAGTCTAACAGACACACAACGAGAGTTCATATGTTCAGTCAGTCAGTGTCTACGCTAAAGTCAGCCCAGTCTAACAGAATTTAGAGCAGTGTCCAAATACTGCAATGGAGCCTTTATACCTCGCTTCAACTGTTCTTTCATCTTTCGACCGGTCAGCTTTCTCTGTTTGTTTCATTAGCAAAGTCTAACTGCATGACCTTCAACCGGTCAGCTTTCTCCGTTTGTTTCATTAGCAAAGTCTAACAACATGACCTTCAACCGGTCAGCTTTCTCTGTTTGTTTCATTAGCAAAGTCTAACAACATGACCTTCAACCGGTCAGCTTTCTCTGTTTGTTTCATTAGCAAAGTCTAACAACATGACATTCAACCGGTCAGCTTTCTCTGTTTGTTTCATTAGTTCGACGGGCGAAATATGTTTGGATGTCCGCTTGAAAGACGGCAGCCATTTTCATATTTCCCAAGTGAAGCGTTTCTTTGTTGTCAAAGTGGGTTCAGGATTGGAACGATTCGATAAATGTTTATCAACGTTTTATTACAAAATAAACATCATCAACGTAATATAGCATAAACATAGAAACACTTGGTATGTACATTGAGCACTTTTTTCGCAAGACCTCATAAAATACCTTCATTGGTGAGCATTAGAATCAGTGCAACTGGTTGCCAAGGTGACGGCAGCCCTCGGAACAGAGCTGTGAGGGACAGTTACCCAGGGCGCAGTTTGTCTTGCACCACGTGACAATTCGGCTATTCCCTGTCCACAGACCGCTAGCTGAGCACCCGGATGTAGCACCACCAGATGGCGTCACGTGGACAGTCTGCACGTGACTGTTAGACGAGAGTATCGCAACGTCTGCGCATCCGTAGAACTGTTCCTGGGGTCCACACCCAACACAGCAGTGGCCACTTGTTTCACATCCCCAAGAGTTGCCTGGTCAGAGGGAGAGGTACATATCTATAGGTGTATGTTTCGTTGAGTTCACCGAACTACAACGACGATAGAAATGTACTGACGTGTTATAAAATTAGTACAAAACCTTTAACTCTGTTGTCAAACATAGTTACATGTAATTCAATTTCCCTCAAAAGAAGATGTGGTATTTAAGTGAATAATTTTTGAAGTAACTAAATGCTAGATTGTATTTCGATGATACCATGTGTGCTACCAAGACAAGCAAGATTTGTTCTCAATGACCCCAGTCAAATATATTCGTCTTGCCAACAGGGTGCCAAGCGCTACTGGGGACCTCCTGTCTTATAATCGTTTACATTTCCCACTCTAAGAGTCTAATTCATCTTGAGTATATATTACAAGGTTTATTGGTCCCTTACGGATACTATAAATATCTTTCGGTATCGTTGGTTTAAACAGACGGAAACAGATATATTGCAACATAACATATATTTACTTTTCATATCAAGTAAAATCGGTAAACCTACCAGCGTTGTATTTCCACTGCAGGACACACTGAGAACACGTCACTTCCGCCGGAAGTATTACCTCCATGTTGTATTTGCCCACACGTGATGTTGTGACGAAGAAACGCGTGCTACCCTCAGGATGCTTCAGAAGATGTCTGTCCAGGCACTGCTGGGTGATAGGGGTGGAGGGGTCGTTGTTGGGGCACAGACGGAACTCAAAATAACCTGACGTAAGGAGAAGGAGATGTGTAAACATTAATTCCAACTCCAGTTTTCAATTGTGCCCCTTTTAGTAATTCCACATCAATGCTTTCCAAACGAGCTCTTCGTGCTTGCTGTATGTTTGTAAGGGTCACTAAGATAACGGGACAGGGACATATTCCTCTCGCTACTTAGTCAGATTAGGGCTGGTGAATCCATTACTGGACCCAGTATGTCCAACCTTGTGTGGAATAGAGAGGTTGTCTCTATGCTACTTTAGTGATCAAACATTCATTTGGCTGATTCGAACTTCCGGGTGGTGGTGGTGGTGGTGGAATTGGGTTTAACGTCGTGCTTGAGAATATTTCGCTCATATGACGACGTGCATGCGTGTGTATGTGTATGTGCGGCTGCTCGTACTAGCCCAGACTTAAGCTGGTTTTATAGTGCTAGCCCACTGAGATACCATGCCGCAGTGAAGCATGAATACCCCACTCAGACACATTATACGGACTCCGAGCCGACCAGTCCTTGTTGTACCCATTAATGTCGAGCGCCAGGCAGGGACCAACAAGTACTATATTTTAACGTCTTTTGGTATGACGCTGTCGAGGATCGAACCCGCGACCTTCCGCACTCCGGGCGGACGCTCTAACCACTACACCACGGAGGCGGTCTCGAACTTCCGGGAGCGTTTCATGGTATGAAAGTGCCAGAATTAAAAAACACATCACCGATGGTAATATCTTTATTAATGTAAATAAATGAAACTTACCTTTGTGGTTGGCGGTCAGATCAATGTCAATTCTGATCGTCTCTCCTTGATTGTACTTCCGGACGATGATACCATTAGCGTACTTCCCTCCAGCCTCGTTCTCGCGGATTCCGTCCCAGGGATCTCCGCAAACACCGCACTTCCCATTGTTCCGTTCCCATTGTCTCTGTAATGGAAACCATGGTGAAAACAATGTTTCATATTATGCAGGATTTCGCAATTTTAAGGTTCTGTCTATTTAAGATGTCGTTAGTGAAGTGAACTAGGAATTAACGCTGGATTCACGGCTGCTGCCCTAATATCAACACATGATGTCCTTCAAGAGTGTGGGTACTTTGTTATACACGCTACGCTCTAATGCTGCCAGCAAAATATATCAAGAAATAGAATAACCGCCTTGGCAGCCAATATGGCACGTTGACAGGGACCATTCTATCATTATCCTCCCATTTTATGTTCAACAACAATAAAAGGGAGGATATTGAAAAACAGACATAAATTTCGTTACCTGTAAGAAATTTTAATGTTTTTTTTATTAGTTCGAATTGTCACTAGCCTCACCTGGTAACCACCGCAGAATAACTGGTTGTCGTCGTAGTTTGGTGGGGTATTAAAACCAAGTCTCCACATACTGGCTCGAGACGGGGGTTCCAGCAGACGCCCGTGACCCTCCACCATGGACGGGAGGAGAAGGAGGGACGCCCACAGCACGCAATGAGCTGGAGCAGGAGTTTCAGACCAAAACATGTCTTCAGTTTAATGGTGGATCGTTCTTCACAAATTGTAGGTGCTTTACCAGACCTGATACGTGGAACGGTCGATTTGATTTGTCGTCTGCTTGATGAAGACTGCAATTAATCTGACGTCTGATGGTTATGATGAAACTACCAGAGAGTGTGTGAAGACACAAATGTTTGTTCTGGTATCTTGGCCCTTGTCCGTCTTCCAAACGATCTGGGGTGCTATATACCTCCGCGTCACCCACGTACCACATTTGTTGCTGAGAGAAAACTTCCATGATACCTGTTTTTCTTGAATACGGAGACATGCGAGAGGTCAGAAAAACAAGCTTGACCTCTGCCAAAAGTACGGATCCACGGCAACCCATTCCCACAACGGAAACCCCCATTGTCCACTTCGGTCAGTGTATCTACCCACTGGCGTCATGCACCCCGTCCTTACCTTCACCCCAGATAAACAAATATCCAAACACGTCAAACTGTTCGTGTGTAAACTCACCAACATCACAACCAGACTATCCGTGTGTGTATACCACACAAACGGAGCACCCCTACTCATAGTGGTAATACTTGTGGGAGTCGTTTATTGTGTAGATAAACAATTCATTCGTGCATAAGGTTTTGTCAGCGTTGATCACCTCCACGTGGATTAAATTCCTTTTGGAACAAGTATTGCCAGTGTAAATGTATAATGGACAATTTGTCTTGACAAATATTTCAATGAGAATAATTCCTCAAGAGAGATATAGTATAAAGCAACATTTTCACAACAGGAGCAGAGTAGTCTATCGAAATGCTCACTCTAATGAACGTTAAATATTTACCATACGATTCAAACATACAAAATATGAATCCTACAGTAAAATAAAACATTTTGTTAACGTTCTTTTGTGTTATTATGATTACATATTACCACACAAATAGTACTGACAATAGTCATCATATACAAATAGTACAGACAATATTCATCATATACAAATAGTACTGACAATATGCATCATGTACAAATAGTACTGACAATATTCATCATGTACAAATAGTACTGACAATATTCATCATGTACAAATAGTACTGACAATATTCATCATGTACAAATAGTACTGACAATATTCATCATATACAAATAGTACTGACAATATTCATCATATACAAATAGTACTGACAATATTCATCATATACAAATAGTACTGACAATATTCATCATATACAAATAGTACTGACAATATTCATCATATACAAATAGTACTGACAATATTCATCATATACAAATAGTACTGACAATATTCATCATATACAAATAGTACTGACAATATTCATCATATACAAATAGTACTGACAATATTCATCATATACAAATAGTACTGACAATATTCATCATATACAAATAGTACTGACATTATTCATCATATACAAATAGTCCTGACAATATTCATCATGTACAAATAGTACTGACATTATTCATCATATACAAATAGTACTGACAATATTCATCATGTACAAATAGTACTGACATTATTCATCATATACAAATAGTACTGACAATAATCATGATATATTTGTGTATCAATTACAATCCACTGATAACTGTATCAGGTTGGTTTGGGAAAATATTAATTTGTTTTGTTTCGGATTTGGATTCGGGTCTAATTGCAGCACATTTGTTTTTACTTGTTCTTTTAATTTCGCAATTATAGCGGTATAATATCTATAATTATAACACAGATTTCGCCTGCGACTATAACAAGACATGTTGTCATTGCTTTGTTTCCAACAGTTTTATTGTAATTTGTCAGGTCTACGGACAATCGACTGAAAGCATGGTTGCAGCCTGAGAGCAGACACCAATTCGTCAGTCTGGTGGTGCACGCTCTCCTCTGGTTCACATAATCTTTCGAACCAGAAACTGATCTCAGGCGCAAGAGAGTGGACTGACGCTTTGATGCCGAAGTTATGAACAAAGTGGCAAAGAAGTGAGTTGGACCAACAAAACAAGAGGTGAATAAAAGCTAAACAATTTAGGATAGCTACGGTAAATGGGCGCCTCGCATCGAGATGGAAGATTCACCCACCCATATGGCAAGAGATACTAACGATATATACTCATGCCAATAATGGTTGTCACCCCCTTCAATATTTTTTTTATTTGAGAGGAGGTGGGGTGTGGGTGTGTGTGAGTTGGGTTGTGGGGAGGGGGGTGACAACCATTATTTGCATGAGTATATATATATATATATATATATATATATATATATATATATATATATATATATATATATATAAGAAGTTTCTGAAACAATCACACGACACGGATCTTCTCCAACATGTTTCACTTTTATCTTCAGGGAGAAGTGATTACAGTTAACGGATTATGATATGACGTCACTTTGTCATGACGTCACAATGCCACTGTATACAAATCGTCGCCTGAAAACCAGAGTGTTCTAAGTCCACTTTTGACAAAATTAGAGTTAGTATGTTCAGGGTAGGTTTTAGAGCATAATCTATTACTCTAGCACCTTTTTACATTAGGAACGAACTCTGGAAACCAAAGTGAAAGAACAGTTAGGACCTGAAGTCGCTGAATACTTTAGAACAAATTGGCGACGTTTTCTTAACGATTGCTTCATGTTATGGCCCTTTGGAGATGAAAAATTAGCTCTGTTTATAACATCCTAAATAACTTGAACAAACATTTACATTTTACCATGGACTCAAATAATTCTGAAATTCCATTTTTGGACATTATGGTAAAACTATGTGGACGTAATCTAGAAACAGACATATATTATAAACCTACATATACTAAACAATACCTTCATTTTTCATCTTGCCACCCGAGTCATATAAAGAGAAGCATTCCCTATAATTAAGCAAGACGTATCTGCATGATTGTGCCACAAATACCGACAAGGAACATACGACTTGCAGTCCGGTGGATACCCAGTTCTTCTTGTGGAAGATGGAATAAAGAAAGCAATAAACACAGACAGAAGGACACTGTTGAAAGTTCGTGATAAAAAAATAAATAACACTGTCAATCTGGCCTATGTTTCAACGCACAATCACAAGAATCCGGAACTTTTTCATATCATAAGACAAAATGTTCCAATTTTAAATACTGATATGAAAATGAATCGAATTATGGCTAATGTAACAATGATAAAGAGTAAACGCCAAACACATATTGATACGTGCCACATTCGACTCATGTATTAAACCTACAGAATTCAGTGTCTCAAAATGTAAACGGGGAAATTGTGGAACTTGTGAATATATACTTGAAACTTCATGTATAAAGTTCAAAAACAGGAAACAATTATTTCATGTACACTCTAACATGGACTGCTCCGCAAAACATATTATTTATGTTATTATATGCCAAGGGTGTCATGAAGAATACATTGGACAAACGGAGTGCTTGAGGGACAGAATGCGCGTCCATAAACAACAGATTAAGGACCCCAAAACAAGGGACATATATGTCCTTCCCCTTCAACCCTCAATTTCAAGTCCAATAAAAATCAAAATATCCAACGCACACACCTACACTTTACAGTTTCGAATTATGCGGGACATTTCCTATTTCTTGATACCATCCACTATTATTTTAGACAAAGCTCAAGTGCTGAAAATGACCTTTCAAAATAGGCTTCATCGAAAATGTCGCCATTTTTGACACAGTACGAAATCGCGATTCACAGCGTTATTTGCTGTATGTTCTGAAATGTGAAAATCGGATAGTTACTGGGAGTATTGAATTTCAAAAATAACATATTCATGATCACTGATATCAGTTTTACATGAAATCGCTAATTATAATTCTGAAACGTTGCCGATGAATCTAGAATCGGTTGGGATGTTTTCGAAAATGCACTTACACGAATGCCGTAGAGCGCTTTCCGCCATATTGGACATTATTTACAAAATCACCTTTCGCGAAGGCCGGTATTGAGACGCCTATTACATCACGTATATTTCATATTCAGCTTCGAAATATGCATCACTGAATTCCCCATACATTTTAGAATCAAATTGCAACTGGTCTGTGTCACCAATACCAACTGTCTAGATAAAATGAGACGAAACATATTGGGTGTGAAAACGAACGCTAATTAAAACGTGATTCATTTTACAAAAGGTTTTGCTCTGTTTATGAGTCCTATGGTGTTTATGTTTTGAAACATCACAACAAAACGCACCATCCGTAAAATACCCGTATTTAACAGCATGATTTACAATTTCGGCGTGTAGTGTCACAGAATACACAATTCACATGCAATGCACGTGAAAGTTGGGGATCAGATAGTCTCAATGATGGGTATAAAAGGTTGATCGCTGTCTGTCGATTATTCACTGTATTTGGAATATTGTTGACGAACGCAAAATGCCATGTCTAAGTGAAGCCAACCGTCATATCGCCATTGGTTTGCTTGAAGCTGGCCAGTCTCAACGTGCAGTTGCCCGACGCATGAATGTTCACCAAAGCACCATTTCACGGCTCTGGGAGAGATATCGCCGGCAGAATGCGGTAGCAGATGCCCCTCGTAGTGGGCGACCTCGAGCGACCACTGCGGCGCAGGATCGCTACATCCGGGTACATCACCTGCGTCATCGAACAGATACGGCGACCAGTACCGCTCGACAAATACCCCGATTGAGGAGGCTTTCTGCACAGACCGTCAGGAACAGGTTGAGAGAGGCTGGTTTACGTGCCAGAAGACCTTATTTTGGCCCTGTGCTTCGACAACAACATCGTCGACATCGAGTTCAATGGTGCACCAACGTTCAGGCCTGGAACCTACCGTATTGGCGTAGAATCTGGTTCAGTGATGATTCACGATTTCTATTGGAACGACGCGATGGAAGAATGCGGGTGTATAGACGTCGACGTGAACGTTTCGCCGACGCTTGCGTTCCCCAGGTGGACAGATTCGGCTGGGGAAGTGTTATGATGTGGGGGGAGATCACCTGCCATAGGAGAAGTGATTTGGTGATGACCCAGGGCAA